GGAACAAGATTCAGTAATTGCAGCTATCTCAATTATTGTTATTTTGGTTTAACTGTTTTCACAAATCTTAATGCTATCACTGTTTAACATGGAACGCTATCGTACCCAGTTGAATGGTGATAAGTGTTGATCGAATGCTGGGTTTGGTTAACTGAATTAGGAAAACACAAGGTTTATTATGGCTATCCCAATAAATTTAAGGTTAAATGCTTGAATTGCAAGAATGTTGAAATTTACCTAGGATCGATGACCAATCGATTCAACCCGAACCCTTAAACCAGAATTCGGTAAGACTGATTTTCTCTTGTTCGTTTACTTTGCTATTGCTTTCTTATTCTTTTAAATTTTAGTTATTTTCCCACTCAATTACTTTATCCATTCGGCTAAGAGATTATTGATTTGCTCCCTGTGGGATTCGACCTAGTACCACTTTTTACTGTAATTATTTGATTGTGGGACTAGTACTAATTTTGAGGGCTTCGACAACCCGTCACTCGTCATGTATTATCCATCAAAAGAAAGAAAGGGTAAATTACAAACTGCCACCCTGTACTTAGGGTTTAGGGGGTGGTGACACTTAGCCATCCAAACATTGTTTCGCAACAGAGACCCCCTAAACTTCTGGGTTTCAGCACTACCCTTGCTCTGTTAAGAGGGTTGAACATCTTACAGTGTTCCTTCTCCAGAAAGTCGAGCGCTTGACATTGAAGCTAGAGCCACTTAGTTTACTTGCATGCTTTTCTACACATAATTTAGGTCCAGGTGCAGGACAACTAGTCCCGGATCCATTGAAGACAGAATCTCTCCCATTGATTGATGAGATTCATTGGCAGGTAAATTGCTACTACCATCCATCTCATTCATTGGGTTCTCCTTTCCATTTGTCAATGTTCCTTGTTGCTCATTATGTTCACTATTGGAATCTTTAATTGACTCCTGAGAATCTCCATGTTGCTTCAAACTTGTTCCCGAAGGGGACTCAGTATTAGAATCATCACCTCCAAACACTTGTAGATTCATAAGCATTGTACTAAATGACTAAAAGAAAGAAATACAGAGTTGAACAAAAATTTGCTATGAATTAGTCAAAAAATCTATTCCCAAGCAAAGCAGAGGTCCTCTCTCAGTCTCTCTGCTAAACATATTGGAATGGCAATGCATTTTCCCCAATGTGGCCAAAATATGATTTGCCACCTAAAGAAGAAACCCAATTCATCATTTTTGTAAACAAATTCTCCTAAATAAACTCTTTAGTTCATGCTAAATACTTCTGCTCCCCACTAACACCCAAACAAGGGAAACTAATAGGAACTTTTTCATGATTTGATTGCTGTTTGCAATTTATAGGTCTCATCGGAAATCGTCATCTAAATTGTCTATGCCTGCACATGGCATAAACTTTTGTTTATGCGTCTATGTTTATGTACACAAGCATGTGTATATGACTATATGTTCACCAAAAAATAAAAAGTATTTGCATATGCATATGTTAGCACACATTAAGTAGATTAAATCAAGCAAAAAGCATAAAGCTTAAGTTAAGTTTCACAAATTAAGTTTTCTCGTGTGATATTCCAGACAGTTCTAACAAAAAAAATGAATGACAGAATATGTTTAGGAGATAGCATTAATTACCGATGTAAGTGATATTTGCTTCTGTACCTTTAAATGAGGATCTGCGATCTACAACTAATTTGCAAAACATCATAATTATATCAAAAGTGCTAATTACATTGTCAAAAATTAAGTTCACAATAAACAACACTAAAATTTCAATACTGTCAGAAATCTCATATGCAAAATATGAGTAGGTACGAGAAAAAAAAAACAACATAAACAAAAACTCCATTAACAATAAGCTATGAATTCATGATTCCATTATTTCATCTTGGAGTAATGGATTCATGTTTTCCATCATTTCACCTATTCACCGTCCATTTGATCTCAAATCAGACTAAATTGAAACAAAGATGATTGAAATAAATAAATGCAGATAATGTCATAATCACTAGAGAGGAAAGCACTCAAAGATCAAATAGATTATTTAAAGGGGGGAAATGAAGTAGAACCTACGAAACCATTAAAAAAAAAGGGTAGTGAGAAACCATAAAAAAAGAGAATACTAAGAAAAATACTCACTTAGAGCTTCTCAATTGATTTCTTCGTACAGTATGGGGCAAGGAAGATTCAAGTAATCAATTTTCTCCACAACCTTGGGCTCATTACCCTTAGAGGGTGCAGGAGGAGGAGGAACAAAACCTACGTGGGAAGCCATAATTCACTTCTAAAATAAGAGAAAACAGTGAAGAACCATATGAATACGAAGCGCATCGATGGAGAAGGTTTTTTCTACTGGAAACTCCACTGGAACAAATTTAGGGCAACATAACAGAAGCAGAGGGTTTGTTAAGCTGAATAGGTGGGCAAATTAAGAGAAGAAGGCGGGCATAGGTTAAGGCAAAACTCTCCTTGTCGGGGTTTTCCATGGCCACAAATAGATACTGATCGAAGAGAAGAAGGCGGGAAGAATGATGCTTTGGGCTCCGAAGGGTTTTTCATTAGGTTAGTAACTTGATGATCAAAGGGTTTTTCATCGAAAACTCTTCCCTTATACCCTTCGACATCCTGCTTTAAAAGTATAAATGTTAAACCAAGAAGGATATGGCATTACCTTCTCTTCTCCTACTCGAACGAATAAGGGTCGAGGTTGATTTGGATATCTCCAAGTTGAAAGAAATCTTCACCCTTCTCAAGCAAAGTTGATGTTGGATTTGGAGTCGCATAACACTTGTAACCTTAGATTTCCTTCTCAAYCTCTATTTGAGCAATGATTCAGTGATTCTCCCTCTGCAATATTCATCTTCGTCAAAAAAACTATTATCTGGTTCTCTGCAAGGAGACCTTTTGTCTCGTCGAACAGGAAGTGGAGAGTGCACGGAAGAA